CAGCAACAGCAACAGCAACAGCAACGGCAACAGCAACAGCAACAGCAACAGCAACAGCAACAGCAACAACAACAGCAACAGCAGCAACAACAACAACAACAACAACAACAACAACAACAACAACAACCACAACCACAACCACAACCACAACCACAACCACAACCACAACGACAGCGACAACGACAACGACAACGACAACAATCAACCACACAAGGACACCTTTGGCAGCCGGATGGGCTTGATGCTGGAAGATCCCTTACCTGTGGGGTGCAGTGCAAGGTGAACCAGCACCTTTGCTTGTCAGGCTGATGGAAGCCCTTTCCTCAACCTCTTGGATATGCCTCATCCTTGGCACATCTTTGTACCCCCTCCCCCTCCCCCGAGCCTTTGCCAGTGCTCGAGGCGCGGGCTTTCTGTTGGCCAGACAGCGTCAGGGGAGGACGCGCCGAGTGTTCTGTGCCAAAGTGCTTGAAACTCTGAGCCTCCAGGAATGCTTCTTCATTGTCGGCATACAGGATGGGCACTTGGTCAGCTCTCACGCCCAGAAAAGGAGTTATCAGAAGAGAATTGGAATCTCAGCACTGGCTATGAGAGCGGGCTTCAGGCAGATGTGAGCGAGCATGGCACTGACGACTTGCCTTTGGAGCACACCGCCCAGATGTTGGATCCTCAGAAGCAAGGAGACACCGGCCGTAGAGGCGCTTTGAAAACGCCTGCCAACTTTCCAGTAGTCAGCATCACCAGCCAATTCGGGACAGGTCTGTTTTGCTGCTGGGGTCGGCGTGGAGTTTCTTCAGGGTAAGGGATGTGGGCGAGTCAGTCTTTGATTTGGCATGCGTCCAGCATTTTGACACATGCTTTCCCCCAAGCTGAGCCTAAACCCATCAAGGCTCTCCCTAAACTCACTCAAGAGCATACCAGTATTTGCTCGAAGCGACCCTTCTGTGAACAATGTGAACCCCAAAGCAACCCGACTGGATCCGCGAAGCACTCAGTGTACAGGCAACACATCGCGAACCTTGTCCGTGATGCGGGCTGCCCAAGTGCAGAGTGAGGTGAATCAGCTGCGTGTTTGCTTGCAGCCATCAGTTGCTTCCGCCACGAGCCGACTGGCCGACTGGCTGCGAGATGAGGCGCTTGCCTCTGGGCTGCAGCAAGCTGCGATTGTGGCGGCCCCGCCTCGTTGGTCGGCGGTTCGCGTCAGCGATGTTGCCCAGTGAACAAGTTTTGGACGCTCGTGTGCACAAAGGCCAACTTCGTCAAAGTGCACGACCCTCTTTTGAAAGATGCTATGAATTTGGGGCGGTTTTCGAGTGATTCTGCGGTTCGGTATTTAATTATGTGGGGTCTTTTTAATGTGACCCCGCCCCCCTCTTTAGTGGAGAAAGGGTGCTCTGGATGGGACTTGGACTTGCGAGTACTTAGTTTAGCATTTCTTGTAGTATTGCCAAGACTTACTCTCAGATTCCAAGCATTTAGTTTAGCCTTCCCTAGATTAAATTTGGCATTGCCAGGGCTTACTTTCGGATTCCCAGCACTTAGTTTATTATTGCCAAGTCTAAACTTCGTATTGCCAAGGCTTACTCTTGGATTCCCAGCACTTAGTTTGTTATTGCCAAGTCTAAACTTAGTAATGCCAAGGCAAACTCTCAGATTCCCAGTACTTAATCTAGTATTGCCAAATGTTGCCCACCCCAAACATGCTTGACCTTTAAACAGGACCCCCAAGCAGTATCTTTTTGCGCGGGACCACTGGCTTTCATGGGCATTGGTTTTCCTAGATCTAAGTTGAGTGTCTGAGCTGGGAAGGACATGGCTAAATCACCCTGAAACAAGGCAAGGCTTTGAACATGGCATTTTGGTTTTTGCCTGGTTTTTTTTCGTGATTTGCTTTTGCATTTTATGGGTGAAACAACCTTCTATGCTTGAAGACCCCAAGACTGTCGCAGGATCTTGAAGTAGGCAAAAAACCTTCCAGAATATAGACCTCCCCATTTACTATAAAGAAGGTCCAACATGATTTTGTCAGTTGGGTTGGATTGAGTGTGGTGTCGGGCTAAGATGGCTAAGTTCTGACTCATTCGCAGGCTCAGGGCTGGCTTGGGAGAGGCCCATGTTGCGGTGTCGGATGTTTTTTGTTTGTTTGTTGTTCTGTTGTTTTTTGCGGGGGTTGAAGAGGGTTTCGGGTTTTGAAGAGGGTTTCGGTTTGATCTCTAAGTTGTTGGCTTAGTCATTGGCCTACACATCGAGGCAACAAGTTCAACACCTTAGGACACTGAATGATGGTTCTTTGGCATTTGTTTTAGGGAGTTCAGACATGTCCGCTGGCTTTCTCTCAGATCTGCGCCGGCCGTCTCTGGGCCCTTGAGATTTTGCTTGAAGTCCACGTCCAGAAGCCAGGCTCGGAGCGAGGGCTCGCTGCGCCGGGGCCGCCAATCGAAGCCGTGGAGCGCTTCGCTCCGGAAAATGCGTCCAAGGCGAAATTACGCCCTATGAGCAGCCAAAGTGGATCATGGGCGAGGCACGTGTTTTTTTTTGCATCGTGGGCACGTTTTCGAGGCATTCAGCAGTGAAAGATGCCGGTTGACCATGGCCCCAAGCGCCCATGTGCCAAGTCTCTTCGGAGTTTCCGAGGTCTTTGAGACCACAGCACTGGGCGGATAACCCGAAAAAGAGAGCTACGAGCTGCTCATTTTCCCGGCTTGGGGGATTCTGGAAGCGAGCTTTGGACAGGGGAGCATCGAGGGGAAGTAGAGAGGGTGGAAGCTGAGAGGCTGAGAGTTGCGCTCGCTTTGGCTCGTGAGTTGCGCCTTCCGCTTATGTGCGAGCTCTCGCAGCAGAGACACAAATCATGTTTCAGCCAATCTCACACCCACAATGCTGAACAACAGGCTGTTGAACAAGTCGTGCACAGGCAGCCATGGGTGAGCCTTCAAGTCTCACAGGAGATGTGGGCCCGGCATTTCCGGTTGTCATCCCAGTGGGACGTCTTGGGCTCAGTGACGTTTCTGAGTTTTTCGCTTTCGCGTGGCTTTCTCGTTGTTGGCTTCCGTTTGAGGCGCCGGCGACGCGCTCGATGCGCACGATGCGCCACTGGACCCCGCCACGGAAGTCGGCGGCGCTGGGCCGGAAGCCGAAGCCGCCATGTGGAAGGCGGCGGTCTCCCCAAAAAGCCAAAGGAAGTACCCTCCCACCAGCTAACATGAAAGTGCACAGACCCCTGTATGTAGAAAGACTACTTTCCTCTTGAAAAGGGCGTTTTTGCACATCCATGTTAGTTGGTGGGAGGATATATCCAAAGTAATTTAGCGCTCGTTGCGCGAGATGCCTCTAGGCGCTTGGAGATGTGGTGACGACGAGGCCTGCTCGCAAAGCGCGGTATGGGGGTCTCAACGTTGGGGATCCTTGTGAAATTGAAGGGAAACCAACAGGCAGAGATCCTCAATGTCAGCAAAAGCAACCCAGATGACGTACAAGTTGGAGCTCAGATTTGTAGGATGCCATGATGCTTCGCACAGGCTGCGACTTGCAGCAGATCGACTGTCCCAGGCGCGTACCTGCTTTCGACATGTTTTCTTGCGGACCGGTCGGCTTTTGCGTTATCTTGTGCGGTGTGGCTCGGGCCCTTGGCCTTTGCCAGGGTCCACCAGAGACCCCAGTCTGCCTCTCAGACTTGGATGGCAAGGTGCTTGACTGACGAACCCACAGTGAATCGAGTGGATTCCCTGGCTTCCAGCCTACACCCTCAATCGGCGAGTTTGAGGCTCCCCCTTTCACGAGTACCAGCGCGCTACCTCCAGTCGGACCAGGCCTGAAAATTGGCGAATCGGGGCCAAACTTGCTGCTGTTTGGATTGATCGAAAGCAGAGAACTGACCTCCGCAAAGCTCGCAAGGTATAAAAAGGTCCATGTTTGTGGAAAGATGACACCATGTGACGCCATGCGACGCCATGTGACACCCATGTTTTTTCTTGGAAAGATGAAGTGACACCATGTGACGCCCACACGATGCGGGCCTTTGGCCGCAAAGGCCCTGCCTTCAGGTCTGGGCATGGGAGCTCTGCCGCCAGTGCCGGTGTCGGGAGCGGGCCCTGGGCCCTGGGGCACACCCCCGCCCTTGCCGGCCCGAAGCCCAGAGAAGATGTCGTGGCTGAGTGGCTGAGTTCACTGGATACGTTTTGGCTTCAGCCAGGGTTTCAACATACTCCGTAGCTTTAAGTCGTTCTCCGAGGTTTTGACACATATGTCTCCAGTTGCTGCACCTTGTTGAAAGGCCTGATACGGTATCGAGTCCTTTCCTGCCAGCTTTTTTTTGGGGGCTGAAATCGGGGTAAATGCACCCTCTGGTGTTGAAGGGAAGCCCAAAGACAACTGTGGCTTCAAGGGCCCCCAAAGTTGCTGCATCCCAACTCGGAAGTCCAAACATGAGGGGGTTCCAAAGCCTCCAAATGGTGAGGTCTAGCGTGTCATCCCACAACCAGAGGGAAGCACCTTCATTTGAGCATTGTGGAAGGTTGCAAGATTCCTGAGTTCTCGCCCTAACACAGACATACGCATAGAGCCTTTCCACTTTCCTTGGTGGGTCAGTGGGTGGGCTAATTGTTCAATGTCAAGCCAGCAGATCACCACTACTGAACGGAGTTCCGATGTTCCCCGAGGAAGTTGCTCCGGCCTCCTTGGCCGGACTTGCGCTTCCAGCCCACAAGGCACGGCGGCGCAAGGCCGCGGCGGCCCCAAAGTTTCGTTGGGAAGGAGTGAAGGAGTGGGCCCTCAGAAAACGTCGCCTGAGGATCTGAGACGTTTTCTCTAGAGCAAAAAGGGCGGCTTGCCGCAACTTGCAATCAGTTGCGCGCAGAGGCCTTTCAATCTCATGCAGGGTGTTTCTGCCATTTCCGCCACCTTTGCTCTGCAGCTCGCTCAAAAGACTTTTGATCTTCACCGGCCAAGCGAGCATGAGCCTGACAAGCGAAGCAGATCAAGCTCAGACATTCTAGCTGAATATCCAGCCATTCCAAGCGCACATGAGCGAGGGGGCGGCCTCCAGTACTGCAGTCCGGCCGGGGCCACAGTTGTCACAGCGAGTGTGCGGGCGGGGCACACCGGGGGCCTTTCGCTGAGGCGGCTGCGTCGCGAACTTGAGGCACTGAAAAGGTCAAACAACTCGCAGATCTTGGTCCGACCTGCAGAGGACTCGGCTTGTCACAGCTTGAACATGAGAAGCCCGTTGAGACGTTGCAGAAAGCTCCAAATTGGACGCTGCAGGACAACCTGCTTGAGTGGCATTTCCTGCTCCATTCCTTTCCGCATGACAGCCCCTACAGCAAGGGGTGCTATCATGGCAAGATCATCTTCCCTGCGCAGTATCCCCATGCCCCTCCGGCGATTGTGATGATGACGCCTAGTGGGCGGCTTGATATCGGGAAGAAGCTGTGCCTTAGCATGACCGACTTTCACCCGGAGAGCTGGAATCCGGCCTGGTCCCTGGAGACCATCCTGGTGGGCTTGTTATCCTTCTTCATGTCGGAAGAGGGGGGCTATGGCTCGGTTCAAGCATCTCCCCAGCAGCGGCAGGCGCTGGCTGAGCAGAGTTGGGAGGTGAACGCCGCCTCTGAGCTCTTCAGAAGCCTCTTCCCGGACTTTGTGAGTCCCGAAGTGCCGGCACCGGCTGAGCCGGCACCGGCTGAGCCGGCACCGTCTGAGCCGGCACCGGCTGAGCCGGAGCCAGCCCAGGAGTCCCCAATGCAATCCTCATTTCAGTCCGCAGTGGAATCAACCGAGTCCCCGGTTGCCGCGGACTCTGCGGCTTCGGCTGAAAGAGAAGCAGTCGAACAGATCCCGCAGGGCTCGCAGGTTCCGCAGGTCGCGCAGGTCGCGCCGGTCGCGGAGGCCGAGCCTGAGCGCCCCCAGGGCGCTCAGGTTGCCCCGGAGTCGGACCTGGAGGCTGCGGAAGAGCCCATGGAGTGCTGGATCTGCCGCGACGTCACCGCGGAGCCCTTGATTCAGCCGTGCAGATGTCGAGGCTCCATGAGCGGTGTGCATGCGAGCTGCGTGGAGGAGTGGATCCGAATCCACCGGCGGACAGCGAACACCGATGCCCCTCCGCAGTGCTCGGTGTGTCACGAGCCCTACCACGGCTCTGAACGGATGCCGGGCGTAAGGGACTTCCTAGCGCACACCTGTCAAGACATGGGCAGCAGGTGTCTCAGAACGGTGCTCTTGGTCTTTATGCTGCTTGCGTACCAGGCCCGGATTGCACATGGGTTCTCGATCGCCTCATCGTCTTAAGTGCAAGCGCCCTTCACCAACGAAAAGCGCTTGTGTTTTGTGTTTCCCATTGCGAGAAACACTGTTAGTGGTTCCGCAGGTGTGCGCAATGGACGACAATCTGATGCTGCCACTTCGTGTGGGCTTCTTCACCTTCTTCGGGCTGCTGTTCGTGTACAGAGTGCCCCGGCGTGGACTCCACCCTTTCCCCCTGTTTTGGAAAGAGTTTCCTATCAGCACAAACAGGGTGCTTTGGAATCCACAATCACGTCTTATGGGAATTTGCAGAATCCACTCGGATTCCTTACAAAGGGCTTACACAGGGTTCCCAAAGCGGGTGCCCATGTCAACGCTTAGGCTGGGCTCTTGGCCTCAGGTCCTAGTTCTGCTGGTCTCCCTGCCGGCGCACCGGCTGCCGCCCGCCCAGCCGCTGGTGCGCTTCTTCGTTTCAGAGCCCACCCAGCTGGCGCTGCACATTGCGGAGGCCTTCACCACGCTGCTGGCTCTGGGCCCAGAGCGAGCCATTGGTTCTTGCTGTTTTTTTTCTCCTTTTGGCCGACCTGGGAGTTGGAAAGTTGGAAAGTTGGAAAGTTGAGGTCATGACCACGTGGGCTGCCTCGGGCTTCTTGGACTGGCGCTTTTACCTGCCATTCGGCGTGACTGGAGCCTTCCTTGCTGCGAAGCTCTTCTACAGGCGATGCTGGCTTGCGGTCGCAAGATGGACAGCGTTTGATAGAGGGGAAACTGTAGCAGCGTCATTCAGTGCTTTCTTATTGACTCTTCTGATGCCTCTCGCTTCACAGCCGCAGAGGCGGCCCTCGGCGGAGTGCTGTCGTCGCTGTGGGCACGGCTTTCTGTTCATTCTCATGCCCCTTGGCGGAGAACTGGCTTTCACGAGCCACAAGCCTCCTTCTACCACCCAGCAAAAGCTCTCAGAGCCCTGAATAGAACTTTTTCTCAGAAGGTTCTAGGAACGTTTTCTGACGGGTAGGGTAGGGTATAACTGTGATTTTCTTAGTCTCGGGCTGTACAGGTTTGCGTGGCCAGCCGCTTTCGCCTGGACTCCGAGGCTTCCGCTGATACTGATCTGGGGGATTTTCGTCCTGTGCAGGAGTGGAGCTTTGAGTGTTGAGCTGATCCGGCTTCTCGCGGGTTGACCTTTCGTCAGGAAGTATCGCCACTTGGTGCTTCATCCACTTGGGCCGGGCCTTCACATTTGCGCAGCCATCGCTGCGCCTCCGCTCAATGTGGGAGTGCCTGGTTTTTTTGGGGTACCCTCTTCGTGGCCTTGAAAGGGCATTTGGGGGATGCCCCTAAGACGAGCCACTCATGAGAGACGGAGTTGGAGGTGATTCCAATGGCCTTTGCTCTGCAATCCAACCTGGCGCTGCTGATCTTGTGGGGGACCGATCTGGTTGGGAATGAGCACTTGGCCATCGGAGTTGAAATGTACATGTCGATGTTCCCGTGTCGATATGAATCAAGACCCTTGACAAATCATCCTATCCGGAATCCCGTTGGATGCCGAAATCCATTTGCTGGCAGGACCCACGCACTCTTCGCAGTAGCAAGCCTCGTGGAGCTCTTCTGCATCCAGAAGTTCCGCTGGAAGAAGGGCTTCTTTTGGCTGCTCCTGGTGCAGGTGGGAGGCTCATGTTTGGTGGGTGGGCTTGTCAGCATCGCGCTCTCGACCTAGGGCAAACAGCCCTAGCCATCTGAGCGCTCCTTACCTTTGGAGACACGCCCCATACAAATCAAGGCACACCTAGAGCCAACTCAAAGCTCGAGTCAGGTGCGTGCGCTCCCAGGCTCAGTACCCGTTTGAATCGACATCGGTTTCGCTCCGTTCAGAGAAGCGGTCCATACTCATACGGGCAACGAGAGCTTTCATCTGCTTTTCCCCGTAATGGTGCCCATTCGGATGTCACTTTCTCAAGAGACGCAGTTGCTTGACCCTCGGCTGACCGTTTGCCCTGCGTGGTGCCAGCGCAGCAAAACAACACGCAGCGGTGCTTACAGCAAATTCCCCTCGCCGACAACCGCAGGAGTTGCTCGCGAGGTGGTCAGTGGGATACGCTAGCGTCGTTGAACAAGGCTTTGTTTCCTCACCTTCTGAGGGCAGGGCCATGCCTCAGAGGAACACTCCGACTGGGGATGTTTGCAAGGGAAGCCTAAAGGCTTAAACCTCATGACATGAAACCAGCTGTTGACAAACCCCGGGGAAACGGAGTGGGATTGATCCAAAGTGCCGAGGTGGCGGTGATGGCGTGTTGCTTGGCTACAGGCTTCTCCTACAAATACTGACAATGTCTTGTAGGATATCAAGCCCCCGGACTAAAAGCAAATGAGGTATATTACAAGCGTTCCAGGTTTTGAATATGGCAACATATATTTCGAGCAGTTGTTTGGAGCAAGTTTCTTTTGGTGCTGCTGATGGTTTCGGCTTTCTAAGGCTACACCGCCAACTTGTGCGTCTTTCCGGCAGGCAAGCTAAGCGATACGAATCACGTGAGACTAGCGAGCAGTGCCCTTGGCAAATCATGAGCTCAGGGCTGGTGACATGAAAATCCCGTAAGTGACGTCCACCCAGGGTGCCTGAGAACATTCACACCCCTATGTTTTGGTTGTACATCTAGATTGAGTTCAATAGCCGCAAAGATGGTGTCTTGTCCTGTGAAGTCGGCGCAGTTGTGCGACATGGCCAGGCGTTGGCAACCAGCAGCAGTCGGTGATCATCGTTACAGGCATGTGGGGGTGACTCAAAATTAGACAGGAGGGGTTACACGGGTTTTGGTCATTTTTGGTCCATGTTTCCACTTTGAGCCACAGCCATGTGGGACTCAAAATTTGGAGAACTGGGATCCAGGCAGCTCATTTTCGTGGCTGCTGCTGCTGATCTTTCTGAGCCTCAAGGTCAACTGGCAGCTGTGCATGCAGCAACTTTGCGCGCAGCCAAAACGAAACATGTCGGCTCTTTGGTGTGCCGAACCGCAGAGCTCTTTTGAGGCACTACCGAACCTGGCAGCGTCGCCATGGTAGCTTTACGCTAAACGCACCAGCTGCAGGCGCTGGTTTTGAGTCAAAGTAAGTCAAAGTCAAGACGGACTTGTCATTGGAGGTAGGATGTCGCCATGACCAGGGCTTGCTTTGGGCGGTGTTGATTGCTCGATGACATGGCTGTACTTCCAAGGTTGAGAAAAGGGACTGTTGGCGGCTTGACGGCTTGACGGCTTGACTGGGACTGTTTCAGGCTGACGTGCGCTTCGGCGAGTTGGGTTCCATCGGCCTCGAGGGATCACATGCTCAAGCATGCTGCCCGGTTGGGCCGGTTGGGGTTGAACCAGAGGAAAATCCAAGGGAGGGGCGCTCCCCCCAGTTTCCTTGGCCTTTTCGAGTGCTTGGCTCGGGAGCGCCGCATGGAACTCTGAAAGTTTCAGATTGATCAGCTTGAGCAACGCGCGGCGAAAAGAGGCATCGGTGACACCGGCGGGCGGGGTGAAAGTTTTCCCTCTCGGATTTGGACCGGCTGTGTCACTGCGGCTGTTTTGGCTCAGGCGGCATGAGTCAGAACTCAGAAACTTTGAATAGAGACAACTCAGACGAATTGCAGAATTCCCATCCAAGTCTCGGAACGTGGGCACCGCCACGGCTGGCCTTGGCCATTCAGCAGGCCCGAGCAATTGAGCAATCCCGGCATATCCCGGGTCTCAACTTGCGAAAGCAAAGCGTTGCGATTGAGGCATGATCTCCACAGAGACGAACCAATGCGGGCTCACAGGCCGGGCCCACCTGGCCAATGGGGATGAAGCTTTGGCTGTGGGTCAAAATCAATGGTACCATTTTGGGGTAGGTGCACCACCCATTTTAGTCTATTTTAGTGGGGATTGGGATGTTCACTGGGGGTACGGGATTTTGACCCATGGCCAATTGAGTTTTCGGGAGCGTGAACTCAAGCTGCGTGCTTGAGGCCAAATGCCGACCTCCACCAAGCCTCACGTGTACATATTCGGCGGGCACAGCGGCAAGGACGGAGATTTGAGGAGTCGACTGAGTCCATTCCGACTCGACTTCAGGGAATGGTCATGGCTACGGAGATCGCCTCCAGCGACAGGACAGCACAGTGGGGCACCGGATTTGCCCAAAGGCTTTGGAGCTATCCAAATTACATATTATTTATGGTCCAAAGACACTATTTTGATTAAAAGGTTCTGCTGAAGAGGGGTGTTTAAACAGTGCAAAGGTTCCTAAGGGGTTTCATGGCCACGTTCCACGGCAGGTTTTGGGATTGGGTCCGTGCGGCTTTCGCCAGGACCTGCGCAGTGACCACCATCTCCAAGCGGGGCAGGCCCGGCGCACCGGGCCCGGCCTCTGCCTTTGCTCAGGCCAGGGCCCGCTTGCATGCGGCTTCTGGCAAACTGCCTTCAATGATTCAAGTCCAGTTTCAACGGTGGCCTTCGCGGAGTTCCTTTGACGGAACCTCTCGCCGCATGTTTTTTTGATCCGCAGCCGCGGCACCTTTGGGCGGCACCTTGCGGTGGCCGGGCGTTTGGGCGCGAGGCCATGTCCACGCAGACGGTGCACTACATGGCGGCCTGCGACGAGAAGGACGTGAAGGCGGTGGAGTGTCTCATGGATTGGACCGCGCCCTCCCTGCAGCCCCTTGGGCGTCGAGAGAGAGCCCCCGAGAGTTAGTTGTTTTTTTTTTGCTGGCGCGCGTGATTCTTCCTGCTTGCAAAAGAAAAAGACGGTTGGGCGGATTTGAGAACCTCGATGCGAGCTTGTGCTTGGTGTTTCCACAGAGGATCATGTGGAACCAAGGCCACTGCCGGAGGCCCGCTTCAACGTCGCAGAGGCCGCCAGCTGAGCTGGCTGAAATGAGGGGAGACTGTCACGTTGAGGTGATGGATGCGGTCAAGAAGGACCCCGATGTGCTTCTCAGCTCGGAAATCGATAGGCTGATGGGCTAGACTGCCAGGAAATCGCGGATATGAACCAGCTGCAGCTTGAGCGGGCTCTGGCAACTGTACAAGGCCTCAAGAATGCTGTCCAGAAAAGTCTGAGGCGGGACGCACCCGAATTGACACATGTTGCGCTTCTGGTTTGCCAAGCCATGGGTCATGAGTCTGACATCGCCTGGGAGGCAGATCAAGGCACGTTTGGAGTTCAAGGACTGCAGTGACCAAGAGAGGACGCGCTTGCAGGACTGCCCATCTTGATAAGCTGGTTATCGCTCCATGACTCGAGACCCGCAGGACATGCGCCTGGATTTGCAAGAGAAAGAAGCGTCCTTCTTCGAGCTGATCGCTGACTTGCAGCAGAAGTTGGGTGAGGAGGCATGCTGGAAAATGGGGTGTGGACAATGCCAAACCAGTCCCTCACTGAGCAGGCCCCGCCAGCTAGTGCGCAGCAGGACTGTTGTGACCCGTTTGAGTCAGGGGTACACACTTTGCTTTTGGATCAGTTTGCATTTTCGAAGCGAGTCAGAGCAGAAGTTCTGTCAGGAGATCTGCCATGTGGAAACCTTGCTGAAGCAGATGGAGAAGGCCGGCGCTTCGTAAGGCTCCACTTGCCAAAGTGTGAGCCTCAGGAACTCGCCCTGCAAAAGGGTGTCTGAGTGAGACGTTGGCTCGGCGTGCCGATCCATTCTTCGAGACAGAAAAAAGGTGTGCGCAGGTAGCGACGACACCGATAGGACATGTGGAACAGGCATTCAATCGATATGCTGCAAGCAATTTGGTCTGCATCCCGCGGCGGGTGAGGACCGAAGACGTCGACGTGCGCTCGAGCTCGCTCCGCCGGATTCCTTCAAAGGAAAACGCACGTCCGCGAATCGGAAGCAGAAAGACACGCACGGCCACAAACAGCACAATGCCTTTGATGCTCATGTCTCCGGACCGACTGCAGGAACACAAGCAGAAGGCAAGGGTTTAGAGGATGTTTCTTTCCAAACCGTGTGAGACTTATAGGTGAAAAGATTCCGACGGCGACTAACACAACAAGGGAATGAACCATGAGCCATCAACATTCTCACCAACGACCAAAGCCAGGGATCCTAACACTACGGACATTGCACATGTCCAACAAGCAAGCGAGGTTCTAGCGTTTGCTCTCACCCTCCAGCATGACCTCCTGGGGAAATGTTTTGAGCGGGTCGTGATAGCACAAGCAAGACACATCCGCAACGCCGCCGCGAACGTCATGGTTGCTTCCGATCTCAACTTGTATTCGGTCAATCCTTTCTGCGGCTTGCGCGTGCGCATGTGCCGTTCTTGAATCCTCCCGCAGTCGCTGGTCGCTTGCCGGCCTTCGCTATCACCCGAGGGCCTATCGCCAGACCAGCCTTCGTCAGAGACAGTCCTCTAGGGACTGGGCATGCGCCAGCTGTCGTGCGTTGAGGTCCTGACTCGGAAATGCATTGCATTTTTCACACGCCCAATCATTCCGATTAGTCGCTTCCAAGGGCAGGTTGCTTTCGTTTGCGTTTCCGATTGTCGAGGTGTGATGGCCATACCCACGGGATAAAGTCAACCAACACCCAGCTTCAGCTGGTTGCTTCAGCTGGTTGCGGTGTTTCTGAGGTAAGGTAGCCCAGTCCCAGGCCCATGCCTTGGAATCCATGGACATGCGGCTGCGGCTCGCGGCATCTAATCGCGACCACTAAACGTTTGCAGTTTGCACGACCCCTGATTCCAGAACTTGCTGGTCTGAGCTATCAATGGGGAAGCCTGAGGATTGACCGCCTGCCAAAAACAATCTATTTCCTGTCTCTTCCTTCCCTTGTGCATCCACCTCCCTTTATTCTCAGCTAATTACTCCTACCGGTGAAAGGGAGTGGATGGGAAGTGATAGAAGCGAGCGGGTTGGGGAAGGTGTGGTCAGGCTGTGAGTAGGAAAGCGAGCGAAGAGATGCGAGGAAAGAGATGACGAGCAAAGAGATGACGAGCGAGGGGAGAGGGCTTTCCTATGGTATTTTCGCCTGGCGGTGTAATCCCAAGAGCAGGCTGTTTCTTCCTTCATCCTACCTTCCGTCGCTGGTCTTCCCGCCGCTTGAGGCTCTGCTTGTCTCCTCAGAGTCCTTCTGCGGCAGTTGGGCTTGACAAGAAACACACGCAAGCTGTCACGCAGTGAAAGCGAAAGAGGTATGGAAGGCGATGTAAAGTTTGCTGCAACTCAGACTCGCTTGATCCTCGCAGAACGGCAACTTTGCTGCTTTCGCTTCGCCATGATTTCCCGCATCGAAGACAAATGCTCAGTCAGCTCTTTATCTAGTACCGGCCAAGCCCGCGGCCCGAACCAAGAAGAAGTTGTGCTTGAAGCTGAGCCCTTCCACAACGCCTGAACAGCTTCTTGCCTTAACTGTGGCTCGTCCTGGGCACAAGACAAAGCCATGTACTGCACACACAGTCCATGAACACCGGGAGCTTGGCAAACAGGTTCCTCCAACGTCCCTCACATGCCAGTGCATGAGCTGAGGCTCCGTGGCCAAGCATGCCGGATCTCCCCGTCCATGAGCACCGCAAAGTTGCCTCGCATGCTCCCCAATCAAGCAGCGCCATGTACCGGAAAGCTTATAAAATATCGAGTGCCCGCATGTTTGAGCTTGAGGAGTTGCATTTCTGTTTTTTTTTGCCCCTGCAGGTTTTGGAGGCCTCGCGCGTCCTTGAAAACTCTGCCTTGCCTGCGGACACCGCCCGCGCAAGCGTCTTCGACGACAACGTCAGCTTGTCGGCTGGCCCAGTGCCGCAAGCCTGCAAAGCTCCCAGACCCTCACTTTCGGGTGGCGGCTGTGCTCATGTTGGGGCCACCCTTGTGTGCCGCGGCATTGGCGGCCAAGAGCGGGCTCAAACAAAAAACTTTAGAGCCTCCGGCTCAGTCCGCCGACATTGTCCTCTCCCTTTTCTCCTTCTTCCTCTCTTCCTTGTCTCCCTTGTGTGTTCTGTCGTCCTCTCTCCCTCCCTCTGCTCCCATCCTCCCCATCCCCCCAAGCCTCTCTCTCCCCAATCTCCCTCTCTCGTATGTATGCATGCATGTACATAAGTATGTATGTATGCATGTATGTATGTATGTATGTATGTATGTATGTATGTATGTATGTATGTAATGTAAGCAAGTAAGTAAGTAAGTACGTAAGTAAGTATGTATGTATGTAATGTAATGTAATGTAATGTAATGTAATGTAATGTAATGTAATGTAATGTATGTAATGTATGTATGTATGTATGTATGTATGTATGTATGTATGTAATGTATGTATGTATGTATGTATGTATGTATGTATGTATGTATGTATGTATGTATGTATGTATGTATGTATGTATGAATGTATGTATGTATGTATGTATGTATGTATGTATGTATGTATGTATGTATGTATGTATGTATGTATGTATGTATGTATGTATGTATGTATGTATGTATGTATGTATGTATGTATGTATGTATGTATGTATGTATGTAATGTATGTATGTATGTATGTATGTATGTATGTATGTATGTATGTATGTATGTATGTATGTATGTATGTATGTATGTATGTATGTATGTATGTATGTATGTATGTATGTATGTATGTATGTATGTATGTATGTATGTATGTATGTATGTATGTATGTATGTATGTATGTATGTATGTATGTATGTATGTATGTATGTATGTATGTATGTATGTATGTATGTATGTATGTATGTATGTATGTATGTATGTATGTATGTATGTATGTATGTATGTATGTATGTATGTATGTATGTATGTATGTATGTATGTATGTATGTATGTATGTATGTATGTATGTATGTATGTATGTATGTATATGTATGTATGTATGTATGTATGTATGTATGTATGTATGTATGTATGTATGTATGTATGTATGTATGTATGTATGTATGTATGTATGTATGTATGTATGTATGTATGTATGTATGTATGTATGTATGTATGTATGTATGTATGTATGTGTAATGTAATGTATGTATGTATGTATGTATGTAATGTATGTATGTATGTATGTATGTATGTATGTATGTATGTATGTATGTATGTATGTATGTATGTATGTATGTATGTATGTATGTATGTATGTATGTACGTATGTATGTATGTGTGTATGTAATGTATGTATGTATGTATGTATGTATGTATGTATGTATGTATGTATGTATGTATGTATGTATGTATGTATGTATGTATGTATGTATGTATGTATGTATGTATGTATGTATGTATGTATGTATGTAATGTATGTATGTATGTATGTATGTATGTATGTATGTATGTATGTATGTATGTATGTATGTATGTATGTATGTATGTATGTAATGTATGTATGTATGTATGTATGTATGTATGTATGTATGTATGTATGTATGTATGTATGTATGTATGTATGTATGTATGTATGTATGTAATGTATGTATGAATGTAATGTATGTATGTATGTATGTATGTATGTATGTATGTATGTATGTATGTATGTATGTATGTATGTATGTATGTATGTATGTATGTATGTATGTATGTATGTATGTATGTATGTATGTATGTATGTATGTATGTATGTATGTATGTATGTATGTATGTATGTATGTAGGTATGTATGTATGTATGTATGTATGTATGTATGTATGTATGTATGTATGTATGTATGTATGTATGTATGTATGTATGTATGTATGTATGTATGTATGTATGTATGTATGTAATGTATGTATGTATGTATGTATGTATGTATGTATGTATGTATGTATGTATGTATGTATGTATGTATGTATGTATGTATGTATGTATGTATGTATGTATGTATGTATGTATGTATGTATGTATGTATGTATGTATGTATGTATGTATGTATGTAATGTATGTATGTATGTATGTATGTATGTATGTATGTATGTATGTATGTATGTATGTATGTATGTATGTATGTATGTATGTATGTAATGTATGTATGTATGTATGTATGTATGTATGTATGTATGTATGTATGTATGTATGTATGTATGTATGTATGTATGTATGTATGTATGTATGTATGTATGTATGTATGTATGTATGTATGTATGTATGTATGTATGTATGTATGTATGTATGTATGTATGTATGTATGTATGTATGTATGTATGTATGTATGTATGTATGTATGTAATGTATGTATGTATGTAATGTAATGTAATGTAATGTAATGTAATGTAATGTAATGTAATGTAATGTATGTATGTATGTATGTAATGTATGTATGTAATGTATGTATGTAATGTATGTATGTATGTATGTATGTATGTATGTATGTATGTATGTATGTATGTATGTATGTATGTATGTATGTATGTATGTATGTAATGTATGTATGTATGTATGTATGTATGTATGTATGTATGTATGTATGTATGTATGTATGTATGTATGTATGTATGTATGTATGTATGTATGTATGTATGTATGTATGTATGTATGTATGTATGTATGTATGTATGTATGTATGTATGTATGTATGTATGTATGTATGTATGTATGTATGTATGTATGTATGTATGTAATGTATGTATGTATGTATGTATGTATGTATGTATGTATGTATGTATGTATGTATGTATGTATGTATGTATGTATGTATGTATGTATGTATGTATGTATGTATGTATGTATGTATGTATGT